AACGGCCGATTCCTCCGCCGAATGGCATTTAAAGGCTGCGCGGGACACAGAGGGTGGGGGGGGGTTTGGGGGCCCGGCAGGCCAAACATTTTCACAAGTCTTAATTTCGCCCAGTAATATGATGTGAAGTCACGGGGGCAAAGTTGAAGCGGAGTACACCGCGCTCCCGTCTTTCACGAAATCCCTCTCATTGGCGGTGACAGGAGCATGTTAATTAGAGAGAAGGGATTGCGCTTTAACCGTCTGTCGTTCGGGGGGGTTAATGGCATCAAAGCAGCTTCAGCAGGTACATGAGCTGCGGTCAAGTCTAGTCTGAATGGACTATTGTGATCTCCGAGGACTGCAAGGCTGATCAAGATCAGGGAGCGGCTCGTATTTTTTTCCTACCCCCGGCCCCCTCTGGGGGGGGAAATAAAATAAATACATCGGCTCATCTTGTCGTCTTTTTTTTTTTGTCACATGCTGATAGCGATCGCTTGTTTTTAGTGCATAGCGAGCGCTCCGTGCATTACACCTTCATGCTGTCAGCACAGTTGTTCGGCTTTGTCCTGTGCATCCATGCTGGACATCCGAGGTTCTGCTAACAGACTCGTCTCTTCAGGGGAGCCGATCCCACCTCAACCTAACCTCTCAACCATCACGTTCTCATACAATTCATCTCCACACAGCTCCCTCCTCATGTATCACTGGCCCCTCCCCTTTTAGATTGTAAGCTCTCAGGGTCAGGGCCCACCTTATCATCTTGTCTTGAATTGTATTGCGATTTGTAATGTCTTCCTTATATTGTACAGCGCTGCGCACCCTGTTGGCGCTCTATAAATCCTGTATAATAATTAATAACAGAGCAGCTGTAACAGGAATTTTTTGTCTTTTTTTTTTTTTATTTTTCTTTGATCCTTTTTCTGGGTGACACAGTCCAAATACAAAACAACTGACACGTAGATTAACCCCCAGCCAGAGGTCATTGATGCCGAGATAGCCGGACCAAATTTAAGCAGAATTAGCATTTGTAGGTTAAACTAATAATAGCTCTACGGACTAATTTACACACATAAACAATTGTTTAGATTTTATTTTTATTTGTATTTTTTGATACATTGTTTTAATTTATAGTCAAAAAAAAATCCGGTTTTATAAAAATGTTTATTTTAAATGTAATAACACAAGTGTATCTGGCAGTTATGCTATTAAACAGATGGCACGCAGGTGAACCCTGCCTTCTGAAGGTGGCAGGGTTTACCTACAGGTTGTCGACTTTCATTTTTGTCAGTGAGGCCCCCAGCCTGTGTGTGAGAGAGTGCAGGTGGGAAGGGGGAGAGAAGCTCTAAGGCCTCGTTCACACCTGAGCGTTTTGTAGCGCTTTCTACGCTCGACGAACGCTCTACAAAACGCTCAAACATCTAAATCCCATTGTATTCAATGGTCTCATTCCCACCTCGGCGTATTTCAGCCCGTCCCTAACGCGCTACAAAACGGCCCACGCCTGAAAAGGTACAGGTACTACTTTGGGCCGTTTTTTGTTGCGCGTTTCCATTGGGATACAGCCAAGTAGCCCTCGGAAACGCGCTTTCGTCGCGCGATTTTTTTACCGCGAACCGCAGTAAAAAACCGCGCAACAGACGCGCATATGCAATACGCCTAGGTGTGAACCAGCTCTAAAAGCAATAAAAGAAACACGAGGAAACAATGTGATCACAAGGATGACAATGTAAAAGGATGGACAAAGGGAAAAGGCGATTTCATGAAGAAGGATTTTGGGGTGGGATGGGGGCAGGCATTGTCAGGAATCTTTAGGGAAAATGGCAGCTATTGCGAAGGATCGGAGTGATTTCGCCATAATGTTACCAATGTCGAAATAAGCCTCAGATTCCATCTCGCTGGGTAAAGGCTGTTCGCCCAGCAGTCCCAGAGCATTGGAATTTCATCTGCTCCTCCGTTCCATCTAGTGGTGGGCATGCCATGCGAATGTCATTTACCCAGCTTATGCCTTGGCAGAACTTTTATACATTGAGTGTACCTAGAAAGTGTATGCCGGGGCAGAACTCCTCTATATCATCCCCATTGGGTGCACCTAGAAAGTGTATGGCTGGGCAGAACTCTTATGCATCATCCCCATTGGGTGCACCTAAAAAGTGTATGCCGGGCCAGAACTCTTATACATCATCCCCATTGGGTGCACCTAGAAAGTGTATGCCGGGGCAGAACCCTTTATACATCATCCCCATGGGGTGCTCCTAGAAAGTGTATGGCTGGGCAGAACTCTTATACATCATCCCCATTGGGTGCACCTAGAAAGTGTATACCGGGGCAGAACTCTTATACATCATCCCCATGGGGTGCACCTAGAAAGTGTATACCTGGGCAGAACTCTTATACATCATCCCCATTGGGTGCACCTAGAAAGTGTATACCGGGGCAGAACTCTTATACATCATCCCCATGGGGTGCACCTAGAAAGTGTATACCGGGGCAGAACTCTTATACATCATCCCCATTGGGTGCACCTAAAAAGTGTATGCCGGGGCAGAACTCTTATACATCATCCCCATTGGGTGCACCTAGAAAGTGTATGCCGGGGCAGAACTCTTATACATCATCCCCATGGGCTGCACCTAGAAAGTGTATGGCTGGGCAGAACTCTTATACATCATCCCCATGGGGTGCACCTAGAAAGTGTATGCCGGGGCAGAACTTTTATACATCATCCCCATGGGGTGCACCTAGAAAGTGTATGATTGGGCAGAACTCTTATGCATCATCCCCATTGGGTGCACCTAGAAAGTGTATGGCTGGGCAGAACTCTTATACATCATCCCCATTGGGTGCACCTAGAAAGTGTATGATTGGGCAGAACTCTTTATACATCATCCCCATTGGGTGCACCTAGAAAGTGTATGGCTGGGCAGAACTCTTATACATCATCCCCATTGGGTGCACCTAGAAAGTGTATAATTGGGCAGAACTCTTATGCATCATCCCCATTGGGTGCACCTAGAAAGTGTATGGCTGGGTGGAATTTCATGATTTATAAAATTCTTGGAAACATTATATACGTACACCCCATAATGTCTCCCTGATCTAAGGAAGAGTGACCACAATGTATATTCTTCGAATACCAACACCAAGTTACTAAATAAATATAACTCATCCCAAGTATCTACATACGTAACTCTTCCAGCAATCGCTACTTCTGCAGTAACATTTTTTGTTATTATTTTGTATTTTGACCATTTGTTCTATTCTAAGCGATCTTTTGTAACATATCCTTTCGCAGGATGAGCGCGGTTTTCGGGGGGATCTACTGCCTACATCATTCCCTGCAGTGCCTGGTCATCGACGAAGACTCCAAACAGTAAGTAAACCCCTTAGCAGGGCGGGGGGTGGTGGGGGGGGGGGGGGGGGTCGCGATGAGTGATGTTAAGTTTTCCTTGTGGCCTTAGTTCGTCTAATTGATTTTCATCAGATGACACAAAGCCCTCTGTTATTGCATTTTTAAAAATGGAGCTCACCTAAACAGGCATCAGATTAATCTCTGCTGATAATGCGTGTCACTCCGAGAGAAAAGACTTTAATGAGTTTCGGGGAGATTGTTGTCATAAACCAGTCTGCCCCGCTGAAGGTTGACTTAACCCCTCTCCCAGAGACAAGCTTAAAGGGGAACTCGGGTCCCTGTTCTCGCCTGGGGGGATAATCTACGGCTCTGGCTCCTCACGTATGGCTCTGTCCTGTCAGACTTTGTTTTTAATATTCCAAATAGTTTTTATTGAAATTTGTTTTGAGGTTCAGCAGCTGACAAGAAGTGAGAATTCTCACAAAATGTAACACAGGGGGCCCTCCAGCTGTGCTTTAAAGGAGAACTATGGGGTTAGGGCTTTATAGTCGTAATGCAAAAATCTCAATATTAAGTTTTAAAATCTTATTTTGTCTCCATGTTTAAAGCCCAACTACTAGGGATGCACCGACACTAGTATCGGCATTCGTGCCGTTACCGGGTATTTGGGCGAATATAATATATATATATAATACTTGCCTCTGATACCTGAGATCTTCCTCTGACCGCAAGTGCCGAGGGAGCATGGAGCTGGCTTCCTTTCCAGTCAGGAAGCCGGGCGGTGGGTTATGACCCGTCTCCCGGTTTCCTGATTGGTTAGGAAGCCAGGCAGCCAAGCAACAAGTGAAGATGGTTTCCTAGCCAATCAGGAAGCCGGGCAGCACGTAATGATCCGCCTCTCGGCTTCCTGATTGGTCAGGAAGCCAGGCTGCCTAGGAACAAGTGAAACTGGCTTCATAGCCAGTCGGGAGGCGGGTCATGAAATACTGGCTTCCTAGTCAATCAGAGAGCCATAAGTCAGGTCATGACGTGCCGCCCAGTTTACTGATTGGTCAGGAAGCCAGCTTCCTAGCCAATCAGGAAGCCGGAGGGCACATCATGACCTGCCTTATGGCTCTATGATTGACTAGGAAGCCAGTATTTCATGACCCGCCTCCCGACTTCCTGATTGCTCCTCTTGCTAGAACACCGGCTTCACAGGCAATCAGGAAGGGTCATGATCCGCCACCCGACTTCCTGATAATCTGGGCACCTGCCACCGGTACTCAGTATCGGCGAGTACCAACAAAGAAATATCGGTACTTGTACTCGATACAAAAAAAAACAGTATCGGTGCATCCCTACCAACTACGATGGAATGTATTGTGAGTCCAGGGCAGGGGCAATGATGAACCAAGTGCCCAGGTTCCTGTGACCCCTTTTATGGTTCGCATAGATGGGAGATCACGCTCTCCAAGCTTGTGAAGGAAGGATCCACAAACAGTGACAACATTATCTGCCGAATAAACCATTGGTTGAGATATACAGCATACCTGCCATGGTGTCAGGTACGAGGAGAAAATGGTTCACGTAGACAGCAGTTCCAGGTTTAAAGTGAACCTGTGCCCGGATCATATATCAAATATATATTTACATATTTTGAACCAAAACAGTAAATGAACTTTAAAACAATTCCCCATTCATCTCTGTATTTATGAGTATTGTGGAGAAATACATTTTCAAAGTTCACAACACAACAGTTGAAACCTTAGGTGTTTTTTTTTTGTCCATGAATAACAGGGGCAGTGTCACAGACACATGGATAGTGGACCTTCTGTCATAGCTCCACGTTCAGAGAGGGTGCGGGCCCTAAAAATGGCTTAAAGGAGAACTATGAAAATCACTCAGCCTCATAGGTGTAGCTGACCTTTGACAATGAAACTATCACACGTCGGCTCAATAAATCGGGAAGTGAGAGAACATATACCGTCTCTCGTTCACTTCTCGATCCTATCCCTGCAGAGAGCGGTGACTGTCACTCACGGCTCTCCGCAGGGATTCCCCCCCTTCCCCACTCTGATCCTCCAGCACTGACTGGCGGAACGGACGGGGGCGGGTACAGCTGGCTCTGCCTCTAGATAGGCAGAGTCAGCTGTCAATCACGCAGCTGGGCGGATCCAGACAGTATTGTCGGGAATCGTCCCGGCTGCGGCGTCTCAGTATACCGCGAGCTGTAGCTCCCTATATACTGAGCCTAGGGTGACGGGAGGACGCTAGTTTGTGTCCTCCCGTTACCCTAAGGAGAACTATGGGGAAAAGCCCTGACCCCATAGTTCTCCTTTTAAGCACACGCCACTGCATTTTATTTGTTTGTCTGCAGTTCAGCTTTCAGTGTCTGAGATGTTTTTGAAGCTTTTCTCAGCCACATGGGACAAGGATGCGTTCTCCCATTCATCTCCCAAAAGTACAAAGCTTTAGTGATTTTCGGCAGCTCATCAATTTGGGGGGAAAAAAAAGAAAAGAAAATCGTACTCTTTTATTTCTATGAAATTCACCTTAAAGCAAGATGTCCGCCGTTGCGCCGGCTGCCTGTAGAGAGGTCAGAGTCTCGGCAGCCTTTGATGTGCACAGAAGAGAGTCATTTAGACGTGATGGTTCTTGTGGCTTGTTTCATGTCCTTTCAATGGTCGCTGCGTTTTCCGCTGAGTTATGACCATAATGTTCACCCAGAAGATAAAGAACAAAAACACACATTGCTCCCGTTTCTCTTCAAAGGTATGTAATTTCTTCCAGGGGTGTAAATCACCGGCCTCTTCCGAGCGGAGGGTGTGTAATAGGTGGGCGACGGTCGCCGGCTGACAGAACTTTGTGATGCATTGTCCCAATTCCAAACGGTTTCTTTTCCCCCGAAACAACTTATTAAGTCAGTTCTGAAAGCGCAAGAAAAAAAAACTTTTCATATCCTATCTCGGGTGATCGTTCTGCCCGCCGTGCATGAGACTTTTGTGTCACGATGTCCTCCCTGATAATGGCGAGGTTCTGGCAAAAAGACCATTTTTGTTTTTAAAAAATGTGATTTAAAGGCCGTTAGATTGAGGTGTGTGGGCAGAGCCGTTTGCCCTCTGAGTTCCATTTCTTTGTTATTGCCTCGTGTAGAATATATTAAAGTGTATCTAAAGCTTTGCTGTTTGTGACCTCTGGGGAGATTTACCTTGCGATACTTACCTCTCTGAGGATCCAGCCCCGGGCCTCCTCAGCAGAGAGTGGCCGCCAGTACTTCCAGGTTTCACCCAGATTGCTGGCACCATGACCAGTCTGTAGACAGACCTACTGATTTTTGCTGCCTGGAATTGTGAGGCAATGCATGGCTCAGCATTCAAGCAACACGGTGCTATCCTGTAGTCAAGCTCCCCTGCTGCAGACTTTACCCGAATCCTCGTGCCTCCTCGGTCCTCCGTTACAGCCTTTGGGTAGCCCAAGACTCGTAGTGTGCTCAGTACCCCCCTTGACTCCAGCACACCCTTGAGCATTCAAGTGTCAACTCGTGACTCCCATGCATTTCTGCGCACCCCATGACTCCAGTGCACCCCTTTGTATTGTATAGCTTCCGTGCATCTCGTGACTCCAGTGCACCACTGTGCATCCAACAGCTTCTGCGCACCCCATGACTTCAGGGAACCCCTATGCATCCAATGGCTTTTGTGTGTCCTGTGACTCCAGTGCAACCCTGTGTATCCAACTGCTTCTGTTATCCCCCCACCCCCCCATTACTCCAGTGCATCTAGTGACTTCTGTTTGTCCTGTGATTTCAATGCACCCCCAAGGCATCCTGTGTCATTTTGTAGACCCCTGTGCACCCCATAACTCCAGTGCATCCCTTTGCATCCAGTGACCTCTGTGTGCTCTGTGACTCCGGTGCACAAAAGGGCATCCTATGTCATGCTGTGGACCCCTGTGTGCTCCATGACTTCAGTGCACCCCTTTGTATCCTATAGCTTCTGTGCATCCTGTGACTCCAGTGCACCACTGTGCATCTAGTGACTTCTGTTTGCCCTGTGATGCCACACCAGGGCATCCTGTGTCATGATGTAGATACCTGTGCGCCCCATGACTCCAGTGCACCCCTTTGTATCCTATAGCTTCTGTGCATCCTGTGACTCCAGTGCACCACTGTGCATCTAGTGACTTCTGTTTGCCCTGTGATGCCACACCAGGGCATCCTGTGTCATGATGTAGATACCTGTGCGCCCCATGACTCCAGTGCACCCTTGAGCATCCGGTGTCATCTAGTGACTTCAGTGCATCCAGTGACTTCTGTGTGTTCTGTGACACCAGTGCACCGAAGGGCATCCTATGTCAAGCTGCGGACCCCTGTGCGTCCCATGACTCCAGTGCACCCATGAGTATCCTGTGCCTTAAGTGGCTCCAAGTGCACTTCTGTGATACTTGTGCCAACACACAGTCTCCTGTATGCTTTTGCATCATCTGTAAAGTCCTTCTCTTAGTGGATTCAGACTTCTGTCCATGACTTTCCCTCTCTATTTGTACAGAAGGCCCCTGGGACAGAAACTGACAGAAATCCAACATTTTACAAAGGTTAGCAAAACAGGAACTGGAGTCAAGATTAGTGTCATCAGCCCGCTATTCTGAGTTTCCAAGTAACCTATTACTGTCCAGGTAAATGTTGTGATAATAGATTAACTCCAAGCTTGGTCATGCTGAGCATCATTTGCAATGTCTACTGTTGATTACACAGCAGCATCAGCATGACTGTACAAAGTCAAAGAGTTTCCTGCTCTGTTTCATTCTGCTGTTCAGCTGTGATCGCTCCACCCCTGTAACAGGTAGTATCATGGAAAGGCTAGGCGACCACGGGGGTCTTTGTAAATCCAATGAGTCCTCATTGGTCACAGCAAAAATCACACATTTCAGTGGGCTCATTGCTTCCCCTTCAATGAGGCTGAGAAATACAATACATAAAATATATTTATATAATACAGGCAAATCTCAAAAAGATGTAGTTAAAAAATAGAAAAAGTCTG